ATTTATTTTTGGGACAGAGAGAGACAGAGCATGAACGGGGGAGGGGCAGAGAGAGAGGGAGACACAGAATCGGAAACAGGCTCCAGGCTCTGAGCCATCAGCCCAGAGCCTGACGCGGGGCTCGAACTCACGGACCGCGAGATCGTGACCTGGCTGAAGTCGGACGCTTAACCGACTGCGCCACCCAGGCGCCCCAATTTTTCAGTATCTTAATCTACTGATAATAATTACTAACAATGTCTTTTTCTCTTTATTCAAATAAAGCTACATAGATTATGATGAATTCAGGAAAAAAGGCAGATCTCAAAATTTATAAATAAATAAATAGAATGAAAATTAGAATTGACATGAGGGCTGCCTGTGTGTGGCTCAGTAAGTTGACTGACTGACTGTTGGTTTCAGGTCATGATCTCACAGTTTGTGAGATGGAGCCCTGTGTTGGGCTCTGCACTGACAGCCCCAAACCTGCCTAGGATTACCTGCCTCCCTCTCTCTGCCCCTCCCCAGTCACTTGTGTGCTCTCTCTCAAAAATAAATAAACTTTCAAAGAAATAAAGATGCATTAGAAAAGATCATGGTTCTTCTCCCATAATTAGTTGGCGGGCTCCTCTAATTAAAATACATCAATTATAGTTTCATTTCTTCTTTTGCTCGTGTTATTACATTAAAAATAGATATATGGACTTTATATATATGTGTCCTGAATTTCATAAGACTGTTTTATGGAATTATATCACAAGAGAATGTAATCTATTTGTAATTGAACACTCTGCTGCTTGAAATCATATGAAATGATTCCCATCCAGAGCATCTATATACACTTAATGCTTACTGTCTCCATTATCTTATAATGGTGATAATAGTTAGCACTATTGAGCAAAAACTATTTACTCTTTGATTGGTATAGCTTCCATTTTGTCATTAAACAAATTGTAGACGCTAAGTCATTTTTGGAAGCTGAAATAAATAGAATGCTTGTTTAATCACCTTTTGTATTTCAGAATAAAAAGTTCATTAAAGAGTGCTTGTTTGAAATGGCACTTTTGATTACAATTGTACATTGACTTCTCTTTATGGTTGCCACAACGTGTAGAGGTTGAAGCAATGTCTCAACCAGGAAAAAGCTGAATTGCACCAGAAAGAATTAGTGTCTTTACATGCTTTGGTCTATCAGATTCATTACAGTCAAATTGATTCTGTAGAAATTTAGATTGTTCTCTAATGTTTGTTGCTATTTTCCTGGATGTGAACATAGGCAAGATATGAAAAGGTAGTGGAATATTAAACATTTCACATTTCTGAATACTTATTTTAGTTCCAATTCTAATTTATGTCACACTAAGAATTATAAAATAGAAGCTGAAAAGAAAGTCCTAAAATTCTGAAGGAGTAGAGTCAAAGTTGAAGGTATTTAATATCAGGTATAGCTGAATGTATCTACATATAGGAAAAAATAACAAATTTAAAAAAGGAAAACAGAATATTAAAGAATATGAGATCTATCCAGATGTAGAGAAAACGTCTCTGATTTTAACCTAGGTATTTTTTTTCCCTGGAAAGTGTTGAGATAATCTAAGCAATCTAGAATTTGCTGTGACTCAGTGTCATGAGAGTCTCAAAAAGACTCTTTTCTTGGTTGTAATGAAATATAAAAAAGTCCTTGATAGAGACGAACATCTAAAGAAATTGGAGCAAAAAGGAATGATTAGGCAAAATCAAGTATATTTGAAAGTGATGGAAAACACAGCTGCTAACCCATACTCCAGGAAAATATTGTCTCTTTGTTTAATGAAATGATCTAGCACTAACACATTTTTAAAGCGTAGTTTGTTTCCGTAGTGATGTCATACATAAACCACTAAAGACTTTTCTCTAAGTTGTCTGTACTGAGTAACCGTTGATTCTCCCTGAACGAATTTACAAAATTCAACCTGTAATGTATTTTTTAATTAGGTGAATATTTTCATTGTTTGGAATTATAATATAGATAGGCACTACATTTATTATTTAAAATTTAGGTTATAGAAATTGGCAGACCAAAAAAATATTTCACTGTTTTTAAAAGTACCTTTATATTTCATACTAATGTAAATCGAAAGTATATTGGTTTTCTTTATCCCTTTACAAAATGATAATGCTAATGAGTTAGCATATTTGGTAAGATAGGTCGAAAAATATTTTTTTTCAGTCTGCTACATCTGGACCTTAATTTCCTACTTCTGGTCAAAAAGATTGAACATACTACTATTTCACCTCTACTTATACACATAGGTGATTGTGTGCTTTATTATGCAAATTATTGTTCTAAGTATTTAACATGAATTACCTAATTTCACCTTCACAATAGCTCTTAGAAGATATATTATTAACCCCATCTTCCAAAATCTGAGGTCCAGGTAGCATAAGGAATTCATCCTAGTTTGCACAGCCAGTAAGTACTATGATGATACTTTGTGTTCTTACCTGTAACTGGATGACTCTGCGTTCTCTAGGTATAGTAGTTGTCTTCCCATAACTTTTCCACTTGATGCTTAGACCTCCCTTATATAGTTCTGTGTGTTTCCAATTAAAATTCACCTTTGTGTCTCTTGAAGGACCCTCCTATTGGTTAATATTTATGTAATTGTCTTGGCTTAGACTTACCTGACTTTTCAGTTTGTCTAGCTCCCTGTAGTTTTGTTTCTCTTGTATTGGGGGGGGGATTATTATAGATTTTATAATTGGAAGGAATACTGAAGGGCACGTTCTCTATTTGATAATTATTATCTCTTTGAACAACCATTAAGTCAGTCATTGAACATGTCCAGTAATGTACCCTTGCCTTTTACAGTAGCCGTCCTCACACAGCTCAGGATGCCGGAAATTTCAGTCTTATATTCATTCTCTGTAGCATTGAGTATTTGCAATAATTCGGAAAGTGGTGACAGGAAGACATTTAAATTCAGATACCATGTAGTGAATTACGGTTTTTTTCTCTCTGGAAACTAATAGCTCTCATTTATTTCAGATGTCACTCATGTGAACGAAATTCTCAAATTGATTCCTTCCTTCCCTCCCTCCTTCCTTCCTCCCTTCCTGCCTTCCTTTTCTTTCCTTTCTTCCTTTATTTTTTTTTTAATGGGTGTGGAGGGTGGGAAAAGGCTAGCCCAGTATTATACTGTTTTTTCATGAATTAATTAGAAAATCACATTTTAATAATTTTAACAATTCTTATAATTTTGTGTAGTAGATGGATGGATAGATAAATCCATAGAAAAAATATACATTCTATTTAATATTTAATGACCTGGTAATGTGGAAAAGAAACCATGTGAGTTGTGGGTAGTGAGCTATTAATTATAGATTTCCTGACTTGAGGGGATGTTAATTCTGGTAGATAAGTCATTTACATGAATGATTGACAGTGTGATACAAGTTATAGGAGTAATTTACAAAGAAATTATAAGAAATTCTTGGGGCTTGCACTTGAACTAGCTCTTACGGATGGATGCTCTTTGTGGTGCCTGGGTGACTCAGTTGGTTAAGTGTCTGCTTTCGGCTGAAGTCATGATCTCACAGCTTGTGGGTTCAAGCCCCATGTTGGCCTCTGCGCTGACGGCTCAGAGAGTGGTGTCTGCGTCGCTGTGTCTCCCTCTCTCTCTGCCCCTCCCCTGCTTGTGCTCTATCAAAAATAGATAAACATTAAAAAAAAAAAAAAAGAATGGATACCCTTGTCAAGGTGGTATATAGTTGTAGATGTCAAGAACAACGGCAGCAAAGGCTAAAAAGTGGACAACTGCAGATACATTTTCCTGCAGGATAAAGGACATGAGGGAGGAGTACTGGGTTGGGGTGTAAATTCAGATGGTCTTTAATGCTAAATTAAGGAGTTTGAACTTTATCCCCCACTGAAATAATATTTTTGGTTATATGGAGAAGGCGGTAGGAGAAATAGATACAGCAAGGAAATTTACCGTAAAGCTAATGTATGGGGGACAGGACTGGGATAGAGGAAGGGTCTATATTGCTGCTTTCTCTCCTTGGAAAACACATTCTGCATTTTGTGGGTGTTGATGAAAGGGTTCAACTATGTGTGCCCTGGACAAATCTGAATCATCGATTCAGTACACAATTTTGGAGAATCTTCAACGTTTCCATCCCCTGGGAGGGGGTTGTGGTGGTATATGTACATAATTTTGACTGAGGCTGATATGTAAAAAAAAACAAAAAACAAAAAAACCTCTTTGTTGATTATCAACAATTGCCTTTGCAATGCAAAGGTGGACTTACAATTAATGTTTTTATTTGAAAATATTTCTTCACTTAGGTATAGGTCTAAAAGTCAGGATTTGCCCCTTAGCAAAAGCAAATAGAAGAATGATAATAAACTGAAAAATTGAAGTCAGATAGTAAAATTCATATAACTTATGCTTTTATGAAAATGTAACTTGGCTTCTGTATATATGTCAGTCACAAAATATTACAAAAGATTTAGATGGTGGAGTTAATTATTTAATGGTCAAAAAGACATGTAAAAATTCCTTAGTAAAAAGAAGCCTCAAACAACCTAGGAGGTTCAACAGTGTTTCCCTCATACTGCCTCTGCTCTGTTAGCCTGCTTCGCTTTTCCTTTTAGGTAATGATTTGGAACAAATGAAACCATTTAAAAAAACCTTTGTAAAATTAAAGACATTTTATATACAATACTGAGCATTTCATTTTATCATTACATGCACAGAGATTTCATTGGATCAGTTGTGCAGAGGAGGTATTTCTGTTCCTTTTTTCTGAAGAAGTATATGGTATTGAGTATGAAATCAGCAAACTAATGAATATGACTTCCATTTCCATGAAATGTAAACAAAAAAACAAACAAAAATGGCTCCTGTATATTTCTTAGTACCATTAAGAACAACCACTGATTTGTAGCTACAGCAGGCCGTAGATTGCCATGTACCAATAGTCCATGCTCATGTAGGACCTCACATTAACACCCAATGTCTTGCTTTGTTACCTTGCAGAAATGTTGGAATCCAACAATGTGATCACTTTCAATGGCTTGGCCAACAGCTCCAGTTATCATACCTTCCTTTTGGATGAGGAACGGAGTAGGCTGTATGTTGGAGCGAAGGATCACATATTTTCATTCAACCTGGTTAATATCAAGGATTTTCAAAAGGTATCTTTATTCTAATGTATACACTGTAGTTTCTTTAAAACATCTCAAGCTATTTAACAGTGAATTCTCTAGCTATTTGATAGTGTTACAACTGAAAAAAAAACTTTAAATTAATGATTTTATTTTTTCAGATGCAAATAAAAATAATGCATTGCTTTGATTATCACAAATCAATGGATGCAGTAAACCATAAAAATCATCAAGGACAAAACCATAGTATGTTAAATGATCATTTTAAGAAATACTGACTTAAGCTTATCCTTCCATAGTTGTATCATTTTTCCTGTGTAAAACTAAACATCTGAACCATTATATTTATATATCATAATTGATATCATTTACCGTGTGTGTGTATATGTATGTGTATGTATATATCGCTATATTGTCAGCAAATGCAGAGTTCATCAATCATTTTACACATGCCTAATCTGGTGTGTCACCTGTTTTTGTAAATAATGGTTATTGGAACACAGACACTCATACATTTACATATTGTCTATGTTTGCTTTCATTCAACAATGGCAGAATTGAATAGTTGTGATAGAGATCATCTGGCTCACAGAGCCTAAAATATTTACTATCTGGCCTTTCAAACAAAAAGTTTGCCAAACCTTCATCTAGAAGATCAGTTTTCAGTGTCAGATCTTTACAAATGTGGTCATCTAGACACTTGCAGTCTCTCAGTTTTATCCTTACTCTTTACCATGTTTTTGGCTTCTTTAATTAATAAGCTATACAGTTTGGAAAATAAACATGGATTGAAAAATTAGTGCAAATTATGCTACTGAGTCCATATGCTGTACTCAAAGTCAATTATTTTTTCATAGTCAGTATTTCCAGTCATAATTCTCTGAGGAACAAAAATCTTTTATGTAGCGGCTTTTGTAGGAGTACTAGTATAACATATTTTTTTAGAGTACATATACATCAGTTTTTATGTATGTTAATTTTGCTTCTTATAGGACTTTAGAGAGTGGTGTTTCCTAAACTGATAAACTTTAACATATTGGACAATAAGTTTTGAAAAGTAATGAATTGTATTAAAAGCTTTTGTCCTGGTTGGAGAATATTGCTTTGAAGATCAAATGAAGATTAAATTCAAAGCTAATTCATATCTCTAATAGAGTATACCACTGGACCTAAGACTTTTACTTTCCTACTACCCAAACTCTGAAATTCTGACTGTTACATAAAGATTTGATTCATTATGTATATCATACAAAACAGCAGCGATATACTTAGAGATTAATATACGGGATTTAAATGTCACCTTTGATATTTCTTTTTCTGATTTTTTCAATCTATTTGATTTCTAAGACTTCTCAGATGATTGCAGTATTCCTAAGGTTATCTGTTGCCTAAAAAAACTAGTTATCCGTTTGTTTTTCTGAAATAACAAAATATTTACCTTGGAGTCTTTTCTAAAGGTAATAAAATAAGCAGCTTTGTTTTGTTTAGTGAAAATAAGTCATCCTTTTTATATAATGAGTGAAAAATCTAAGTTGAAGAAATATTTGGTATTTTAATAGTAGGAAATTATATAAGTTCAAGTTTTCAGTGTTCATAATAGTTTTATCATTTTGTAAAACTCATATATATAACATAAATATATATAAATATATTTTTTATCCATAAACAATATATGAGTAACATCACACCTCAGAATGTGTATTTAATGTATTTGGCATTTTTCTCTGAATAATGAAATAATAAAGATTCTTAGTTTATATACTCAGTTTGTTCTAAAATTGAAAAGGCTTAATTATTGTATGAGACAACCTGCTGTTTTATAGATGAGGAAAATCCCAGAGCCATTTGTATGCCCTTGATATAATCACAGTATCTTCTACCAACTAGACTTACAATAAATAGATACTGAAGTAATGAATTAATTCAAGTTAGGTGACTTGCCCAGTTTCATAGTGTTGTTATAGCTCCTGCTCTTGCATTTAAAATCATTATTCTAATCGAAGTCATATTTCTAAGTCTAAAACATTCATTCCAAACATATTATTTAATTATACCACACTGTCCATAGGAGTAAATCTAGTTTACTTAAGAATTCACATGCATTTGTCTATTAATGTTCTTTATAATCTCTGTATGATGTTATTTAGCATTTTCTGAAGCATCTACTCTTGTAATAAACTTTATAAAGATCACTATAGGATATCATAAATAATTCTTGAGGGACTTACAACATAATATTAATGATAAGATTATGAGCATAAAGGTATATATTAGGCCAATCCTTATTAGAGATAACACATTCTCAGATTTGGAAGAACTATGAAAAGATTCTAGACCTTCATAAAAGCATGCTGTTTCTTTAAGGCACAAATGCTTATTTATAAAATTATGAGTGAGAGGGGCTGTCATGAATAGAACTATAGACGCATGAAGAAAGGAAAGTGTAATACACATCATGAAACACTTTGAATATGAGCATAAGAAATTTAGGCATTGTTAATTGAGACTTTTTGAACAAAGAAGACGAAAATATCTACAGGTAAACAAATATAACCAAATAGTCAGGAATTTTTCTTTATGGAAGAGGATACTGTTGGAAATGACAATTAAATATGTTTATATTTTTTATATAAATATATATATTTATTTCACTGACTTATAGTTACGCCCATAAGTTGCTTTCCAGAATAGCATATTATATACCAAAATTTATTTTATTCATGCCAGATTTTTAAGCTATACTTATTTATTTAACTCTGGGAACTCTAGAAAGTTGAGAGTACACACTCCTGGAAGTATGAGAGAATTGAGCATAAATGTTATCAACATTATTTTTTATCAACATTTGACATAAGAGAAAAAATGACAAAATGAGACCCATGCTATCTCACCACCAGCAGTCAAGAGCTAGGAAAGTATGAGAAAATGACTTGCCTTTTTCAGTTAAAAATCATGTTTTAATAATCTGTGAGTTTTGTGAAATGTAACTGGCAAGCTTAATGTGAAAGTCAGTAAATCTTAGCCCTATACTCTATATTATTGTCATGTTTTAAATGAAATTTATATTTTATCTACCGGTATAAACTTTAAATAAGAATAGATCGCTTGGGCTTTCTGTAGCCACAGTGAAGACAGAGCTGTGGAATGTATGGAACAGACTACCCAGCACCCGCTCTAGTAATTCAGAAGTCAGGGTAATGTGAATTTTAAGGACGTGCATTTTTTGTGCTTAGATTTTTTTTTATTATGAGATTACTTTGTAAGATCCTTGTGGAACAAATCAAATGACAGTTCTAATTTACATATACAGATAAACATGAAAAGAAAGGCACATGAAAAAGAATACATAAATTAAAAGCTTCAGATGGTAAAAATGAATGTATAACCAAAAATTTTTAGGGCTTTTATAATTGTGACACAGAGCTGAAATGCATTTGTTATGCCATCATAGGTTATTTCGATATGTCCTAAATTTTTGCTTATGAATGTGTTATATTTTGTTTTTTGATTCCCTAGATTGAATATCATAGCCCTTGCACAAGTTTATGACCATTTATACTGAATTATCTAGGGGCTTGTTTATGACCGTTTATACTGAATTATCTTGAGGCTTGTTTATGACCATTTATACTGAATTATCTTGAGGATCCCAAAAAAGATGATCAGTCATTTTGAGACTAACACAGACATGAATGAGTGACTGCACCATGTCTGGATTTTTTTTTTTTTTTTTTACATATGACATTTTTTTTTTCCTGCAATTAACTGTTACCAGATGAGAAAGATGAATTAAAGAAAAAAATTCAATTGTTCTGCCCCAATACAGATAGGACTCATTCGAATTGCCCTGAGGAACTGAACAATTTTATATTAAAATTTAGATGAGGATGTTTGTATTAATATTATAAAGAAAAATACATCCACCATCCCCTAAACCACCAATAATATCTTGGCCTGCTTAGCACTGTCATTGTAATTATACATTATAGAAACCTTTGGAATTTAGCATAAATGTTGTCAAAGAATGAAGGGGAAATATTAGGGATGAAAACAATTGTTTTTCAATTAGTTTAAGTTTTTCCCACAGTGGCAAAGTTTTTAGAGCTATCTATTTGGAAATTCATTTCCTTCTTTATCTCCAGAAAGTATATAATGCTACTCTTACCTACTTACTGTAAGTAAGTCATGCTGAAATTTGAATTAGGGAAAAGGACCCAGAGCACCTCATGTTTAAATTCAAAATGACTCTTTTATAATAAAGACAGATTCTTTTAGAAAAATGTTAGACACTTTTTTGTGTTTATTTCTATCTCCCTTCATGAGATTTTCACATCTCCTCAAAATGATCTTCCTCTCCCAACCTGACAGTTCTCTTCTCTGCACGCTGCTTAAATCTACTGACTACATAAATTCTGTGTTGCTCAACTTTAATAAACAGCAAAGTCTAATGGGTAGGCAGAGATTGAATGATTTACATTCATACCAATTAATAGATGCTACTGCAGAGTTTAAGCTGAAACCTTCCTACCACATAATGCTTTGTGGAACTTTCTTTAAGTTGCCCCACCTTAGTCTAACAGGCTATAATGTTGGATCACTTAGAGAACTTAATTGGCATAAAATTATGTTTTTTCTCTGCCCTTAGATTGTATGGCCAGTATCTTTTACCAGAAGGGATGAATGCAAATGGGCTGGGAAAGATATCCTGGTAAGTATCAATCAACTAAATTATCTTAGTAATTACATAATTTATTATTCTGTCATCATTTTTGTTTAGTGTTGTATTAAGTAAACACTATACTTGTGAACCTAATCACTTTTTAGAAACAAAAAAGTATTTAATTTTGGATAGTGGTATTTTTATATAAAGAAGTGGGTGAAGGTAAAACATGCCTAAAGATTTACATGTATACAAAAGATAATTAACAAAATGCAATTTTGTAGCATATATACTTACATTCAGTAAGTCAACTTCTTTGTACAAATTTGTTTTCATATGTTAATTCTTCTTGAATTCCTTTTGGGTGATATGAAATTTTTCTGCCTCTGAGTCATGATTAAATTATCCCTTCTTCCTTCTTTGCGTTCCATTCTTTTTCTGTTTTCCTTTCCTTTCATCTTCCTTCCTTCCTTTCTTCCTTCCTTCTTTCCTTCCTTCTATCGATCCATCCATCCATCCATCCATCCATCCATCCTTCCTCTGATTTCTTAAATATGGATTGAGTAATGACTAGGTAATAGGCATTGTCTTGACTAGGTAATAGGCATTGAACAAAAGAGGAATGGAAAGCAATCCAACAATGGTTTTACGTTTATCAAAAGGTACATTCATTTTTTTCTGAGGCAAACTTTGTTAGTAAAATCAAGTGGGTCACTGTTTTGAGGTATAGCCAAGTATTGGCACAGATCATAAAAGGCAGTTATAGTCATTTAAATCAATAAAGTAAAATGAATTTCAGGATTTAAAACATATCTAATTTAGGGGTGCCTGGGTGGCTCTGTTGGTTAAGTGTGCTACTTCGGCTCAGGTCATGATCTCACTGTTTGTGAGTTCGAGCCCCGTGTCAGGCTGTGTGCTGACAGCTCAGATTCTGTGTCTCCCTCTGTCTTTGCCCCTCCCCTGCTCACACTCTGTCTCTCTCTAAAAAATAAACCATTAATTTTTTTTGAATTAAAAAAAAACAGATATAATGTATTTTATTTTGTGTCTTATTTTTGGATGTCTAAAAAACAAGAAAAATCCTATATATTTTGTATACATATTGGCATTTAAAAGAAATTTATCTTAGGTGCTTAAAGACACATTAACCTGCTTGTGTGTGTGTGTGTGTGTGTGTGTGTGTGTGTGTGTGTGTGTATGTATATATATATTTGTAGATGGATAGATATGTAGATATTTTCAGGAGACAACGTGATTGATTGGTAGCAGCTGCCCACAAGATGACACATATGTTTAGAATGATGTAGAGGTGGAGTCTGAATTCATGGGGAAAGAATATCTCAATCTGGTAACAGTGTTGGCTACTGGTGAAGGAAGATAGATAAAAGAGGACAAAGCACAGGCTTTGACTAATTACATATTAGCAAACATGGCAAATTTCATCCTTGAAAATTTCACTTTAAATATAGTGATGATAAGTTACATTGCACCTTCATAGTAAACATTTTTTTGGCTATGTAAAAGTGAACCACAAAAACGTTCTGTCAAGGGACGCCTGGGTGGCTCAGGAGGTTAAATGCCTGACCTACTCAGGCTCAGGTTATGATCTCATCATTTGTGAATTTGAGCCCCACGTCGGTCTCTTTGCTGACAGCTCAGAGCCTGGAATTCGCTTCACATTCTGTGTCTCCCTGTCTCTCTGCCCTCCCCTACTCATGCTCTGTCTGTGTCTCTTTCTCAAAAATAAATGAACATTAAAAACAAAGTGTGTTCTGTCAAATAATAAACTGTCCCAAGTTGATACTTATGTTAGGACTATTGGAAAGGAGTAAAGAGGAAAAAACAATGGTGTAGGAGTCCAGAGAAGTCAGGAATGTTATGTTGAAACCCCCAATGACTCATTAACTGTACTTATGCAAGTATTCTGATTTCTGGAGTGCTTTATTATTTTATCCATTAAATGAGACATTACATATTTTACAATTGGGAGAAACAAGTTTAAGAGTTTTTGTGAAAATTATTTAAAAGAAGGGGCGCCTGGGTGGCTCAGTCGGTTGGGCGGCCGACTTCGGCTCAGGTCATGATCTTGCAGTCCGTGAGTTCGAGCCCCGCGTCGGGCTCTGTGCTGACAGCTCAGAGCCTGGAGCCTGTTTCAGATTCTGTGTCTCCCTCTCTCTGACCCTCCCCCGTTCATGCTCTGTGTCTCTCTGTCTCAAAAATAAATAAATGTTAAAAAAAAAAAATTTAAAAGAAGAAAATACTTTGTAAGTCTAAGGCAAAAAAACCCATAACTGAATACACAAAAAATTATTAACTTTAAAATGCCATGCTTACCATTAACAGATTATTTTGAAAGATCTCAATGTGATATTAACTAAGGATGGATAGAAGTAGAGATTTTACCAGTATGCACCTGTGACTTTTAAAAACAGACTCTTTCCATTTCTGTTGAAGTTTAACAAGTGAAGACATGAATACGTATAATTATTGAGAATCTTTCCTGTGTCAAGTACTATGATGATTTAAATGCTATTTTGTAAATGTAATTTTAATGACAACTTTATGAGGTGGATATCACTACTTCCATTTTCTTGATCAGAAAATACAGTGATTCAGAATATTCATTCAAAGCCTTTTCATCCATAATTTTAGAACATTTTGAGTACTATGCTAGAAGTTGAGATCAGAATGTCTGTGCTTCTGATGAAGTTTTTGGTGTCATGTGGCATATATGGATTTGAATTTGCCTGTTAACACACAGAAACAGTAAAGGACTAATAAATACTTTACCTATTCTGGTTGCATCAAGGGTGTGGACGTAATAACAACCAGCTCACAGCATTCCTGTAAGACTCAATCACAAATGAAATTATTGCATAGGCTATAATGCATTGTACAAAATTTATATTAACTATATTAGTGTTCCTGGTACATGTAATAGAGTTGCTTAGGCAATTTCTTAGCAAAAACATCATTCATGAAATTAATTTGATCCTCTTTAAAGATCATGATCACTGTAGTGTTGCACTATTCTGAATTCAATTCAATTTTGAAATTGAAGATAATATGTACTTATCTGGCAAATTATCTGGATTTTATAATAAGCATTTATAATAAGCACTATAGGCAAGTACTGAGTGTATTTGATATAGTGATTGAATCAGCTTACTCATTTACTAAGATAGCACATAATCTTTAGTGTTTGTGGTTTCCAAAATTCACCTCACTGTATTTCCCTTATCTTTTATGGCTCTTCTCTCATCTGCCCTTCCCTCCTCTTCTTCCTTCCCTCCCCTCCCACTTTGGTATAAGTACTAAACACCAAGGGATTCTGGTGTTAACACAGATGCAGTTAGTTCAGCAGGTGCAATAAAGTCATGATCTGCATAGTGCCATAAGGGTAACCCTAATTATGACCTCAGAGGTTTCCTCTCTAAGAAAGGCAACTTTATTTTATTTTCCAGGCTTATTGAAAATGCTGTGGTTTTCATAGAACTAAATTGAAAGGAACTAAGACATATAGAGTTTGCTAAGTCGGATACAAGGTATTAATTGCACGTGATCATTTCATAGCACTTTGTAATAAACATTCTGAAGACTTATAAGTCATACTCCATAAATTATGGTAGAGATAGGTAATTATGTGTGCATCGAGATATTTAAATTTTTGAAGGTTTAATGATATGGTAATATTAGCCATACTAATCTTTTTAAAAGTCAACTAATTAATGTAACATGATAACGTGTTTGTGTTTTGGTTATTCCTTTATCTTCTGTTAAATCATAGCAGTTCAATTCCAGCATATTTTGTTTTCTCTTTCTTAGCACTTATTTGATAAAATAAAAATGTAACAGTTTTCATATATTTTGGTTAAAAATGTATTTTTCCTCTAGCTGTCAACAACAATATATTCAAATAGGAAAATAGATTTCTTACTATTTTTCTGGTAACCCATCTTATTCCTTTAATAATGCTTTTCATTGACCTATTATTCAAAATATATTTTGTGCATTTCAAATGCATTTTATTAAAATTTCTTTTCAGATAACCTAATTTATGTAACTTAATTTACATATATATTTCATTTAAATAAAATATGTGCCATTTATTCATTATTTTTGAACTTTAATATATAAATGCATTTTTCCATTTCTTCCCTAATACATGATTTTAGAAAAATAGCAATTAGTAGGCTTCCTGGATTTTTAACATTTTTCCCTGATAAACATAAAAAAATAGCTTTGGTATTTTTACCAATAATTTCTTAATCACTTAGCAAGAAATACTAAGAGTAAAGGGTTTTTAAGAATTTACATCCAGTACCTGATTTTTGAAGTGACATGGATGGTTTGATAGAAATTCTGCACTGTATCTTGAGTAAATAATAGTCAACTGTGACATATGGACAATAATTCCTTTCAAAGAATTCTTGTGATGCTGAAAGCCACAGGAATGAGGCTTAGTAGTTTTTGCAGCCATTGGGACTCCACGATAGAATTGTAACCAAAATAGGAACTGACCTGAACATTTATAGAAAAGTAAACTAATGACCTGCTTGAATGCTCTCCATGGTTTCTAGGATCTGAGTTTACTGTTTCCCTCTGGTTTTAGTGTTTTCTTAAGAAGTCCTCTAGAAATAAAGCTCCTTTAAACAAACCTTCCTGGAGGAAGTGCTGTCTTCTCAGTATTGGATTTAGATGTAAGAGTACGATAGGAAAAGTAAGGCAAAGGCACTGACTGATACATATTACATATCATATGTATATTATGATATATAATATATATTTCAGATAAATACACCTTGAAAGTGGGTCATTCTTAATTCTGGTTAAGATGGTTAAGACAACACAGCCACCTGGGTAGTCAGGATATGCCACTAGATTGAACATTCATAGTTCCTGTACATCCATAGTTCCTGAAGCTACATAGTTCACTGAGTGTAGCATCATACAGAAAATTGAACCCTTTCCCATCCTGCCAGGCAGCTGAAAAGATACACACCATCGTTTCTCATGGCTCAGTTTTGTATCAAACACATATGTTAAAT